GCTGCTTTAAGTCAGTTATTTAATCCCTTTGATCATATATCCCCATCTAGGAGCAATAATACTTCACAGGGTTGCTATGAATCATTGTATTGCTATGATTTTATATATATAAAGTTTCCTTGTAAAAGGTGAAATTTTATACTTTCTTATATAAATGTTAGCTATTATTAAATCTAGAGTAGTTCATCAGTGGCTGACAAAATTTGAACAGATATAGAGGGTGACCTGTGATTTGTTAATATAACAATTGCATAGATATGGATGAAAGTTAATCAAAGAGCTTTTACCACTTCTATTTAACATAGTACTGGAAGTTCTAGCCAGAGCATTTAGGCAAGGAAAAAAGAAGCATGCAAACTGGAAAAGAAGAAGCAAAAATATCTCTGCTTGCAGATGATTTGATATTTTATGGAGAAAACCCTAAAGATTCCAAACAAAATAAATCTGTTAGAACTAATAAGTGAATTCAGCAAACTAGCAGGATGCAAAGTCAGCACACAAAAATCAGTTACATTTCGACACACTAGCAATGAACAATCTGAAAAGGAAATTAAAACAATTGTATATATTATACAATAGAATCTGCTGTGGTCTGAATGTTTGTGTCTCCCCCAAATTCCTATATTAAAACTTAATCCCCAGTGCAGTGGTGTTGGAAGGTGATAAGGTAATGAGGTAATGAGCGCTCATAAATGGGATTAGTGTCCTTATAAAAGAGGACTAAGGGAGCTTATTTGTCCCTTCCACCTTGTGGAGACACAGCAAGAAGGTATCATCTATAAAGCATGAGCTGTCAACATACACTGAGTCTGTTGACACCTTAATCTTGGACTTTCCAGCTTCCAGAACTGTGAGCAATAAATCCCTGTTGTTTATAATTACCTAGTCTAAGATATTTTGTTATAGCAGTGCAAATGGACTGAGATAGCATCAAAAAGAATAAAATACTTTGGAATTAACAAGTGTTTATTGTACAAGCGAGAGAGTTGTACAATAAATACTATAAAACAGTACTGAAAAATCAAAGACATAAATAATTGGGAAAACATCTTATGTTCATAGATTGGAAGACAATGTTGTTAAGATGTTACTACTACCCAGATCTTTCTGTAGATTCGACACAGACCCTATCAAAATCCCAATGAGAATTTTTGCAGAAATAGAAAAGTCCTTTCTAAAATTCATGTGGAATCTCAAGGGTCCCTGAATAGCAACAACAATCTTGAAAAAGAAGAACAAAGCTGGAGGACTCATACGTCCTAGTTTCAAAACTTATTACAAAGCTATAAGAATCAAACAGTGTGGCACTGGCATGAAGAGAGATATATATATCCTAAAGGTGTAGAATAGACAGCCCAGAAATAAACTTTCACCTATATGGTCAAACGATTTTTGACAAGGGCGCCAAGACCATTGAATGGGGAAAGGACAGTCTTTGCAACAAATGGTACTAGGAAAAGTAGATATCCATATGTAAGGGAATGAAGTTGGACCCTTACCTAACACCATATACAAAATTAATGCAAAATAGGTCAAAGACCTACATGTCAGTTCTAAGACTATAAAGTCCTTAGAAAAAAACATAGAGTAAAAGCTTATGACATTGCATTTGTCAGTGATTTTTTTTTTTTTTTTGGATATAACACCAAAGGGACAGGAAACAAAAGAAAAAAAGACAACTTTGAACTTCATGTCAATTATAAAATATTATGCAATTTACATAATGAGATAAAATATTTGTAAATCATATAGTTGATAAGGGATTAATATCCAGACTATATAGAGAATTTCAACAGCTCAACAACAGAAAACAAACAACCCAATTCAAAAATGTGCAAAATACTTGAATAGATATTTCTCTACAGAAGATATACAAACAGCTAATGAACATTTGAAAAGATGCTCAATATCACTAATCATTAGAGAAATTCAAATTAAAATTACAATGTGATACCACCTTATACCCATTAGGGTAGCTACTATCAAAAAAACATAACATAACAAATGTTGACAAAGATGTGGAGTTGGAACGCTTGGGCACTGTTGGTGGGAATGTAAAATAGTACAGCTGCTGTGGAAAACAGATGGTGATTCCTCAAAAAATCAAAAATAAAATTATCATATGATCCAGCAGTTCTACTCCTGAATATATACTACAAAGAATCGAAAGAAGGATCTTGAAGAGATATTTGTACATCCTTGTTCGTAGCAGCATTATTCCTAGCAGCCAAGAGGTGGAAGCAACTCAGGTGTCCATTGTCTGATGAATAGATAAGCAAAATGTGGTATATACATAAAATGGAATACTATTCAGCTTTAAAAAGGAAGGAAATTCTGATGTATGCTACCACATGGATGAACTTCGAGGCTATTATGCCAAGTGAAATAAGCCAGACACAAAAAGAAATGTAATGTATGATGCTACTCACATTAGGTACCTAGAGTAGTCAAAATCATAAAGATAGAAAGTAGAATGGTGATTGTTCTGGGCTGGAGGGAGTTGGGAAATGGAAAATTATTGTTTCATTGGTTCAGAATTTCAGTTTTATGAGAAGAAGAGTTTGGAGATGGATGATGGTGATGGTCGCACAATATTATAAATGTATTCAATGCCACTGAATTGTGTACTTAAAAATGATTAATAAATCTTATTTGTAGTTTATCACAATAAAAAAATTGGCATAAAGTCAATCAGAAGGTTAATGCCTTAAACAGAAAGAGAGGAATAAAAATCATCTTGAAGATCAGACTGGATGGGTAATTAATTATATACTTAAGCAAATAATGACTAGAGGTACATACTTTGGGAATGATTATGTTAGGGAAAATGTCATGAAAGAAGAAAATGAAAGTTAAGGCTGCAGAAGCAGTTAGATATGAGTTTTTAGTCTACCTATGTGTATTATTTATAACTATCTATTGCTGCATAGCACTGTTGCCACAGACTCTGTGGCTTAAAGAAACATGTGTTCATTATCTACAGTTTCTATGGGTCAGGAACCTAGGCTCACCTTAACTGGGTTCTCTGCAAGGCTGCAATATTAAGGTGTTGACCAGGGCTGAGTTCTCATCTGCATGCCTGACTGGGGAAGAATCTGTTTATATGTTCAGGTGATTGTTTGCTGTTTGTCCAGGATCCATGAAGCACAGAGCATATTTGAAGAAGGCAGTTGTACACATCATTTTTCCACCCTTGGGATTTTGCATCCAATGTTTTAATATTAGAAAAATTGTATTTTATAAATGACGTGAAAATTGCCACAATTCTCAGAGGTAATTCAGGTAACTCAGATAAAAAAAAACAAACAAATGCTGTAGGTGTTATCTAGAGTGGAGGCAGTCCTCCAAGAACTAGGAATTCTCAAAACATTTCCTCTACCAAAGAGAAGCCCAAAGGGATGTGGGCTATTCAAATATTTGTTATGTGTGTTCCTTACTTATATGTAAAAGTATAGTATGAAACTCTTATATAGTACATCCTAACAGACAAAATGAGAAAGAAGAAATAAATGTGCAGAAATGTACAAAAGCAAAGCATTCAAAAATTCTAATTCCAGAGAAGATACAAAAATCTTCCCATAGCAGTGGATTCACTGTAATACTTGCAATATGGAATGAAGCACCATCTTTCCTTTTTCTTTTCCCTGAATAAACTTCCTCATGGGAAACTTCACTGCATTTCAGAAGTGTAAACAGAATCAGGATGCTTGGCTTTTATACCAACCACGCCAGCTTCTATTTTGTTTCTCATTTGTTTATTCATTTAATCAACCAATATTTATTGAGTACCGCAAATATTTATTATATATATAAATACTGGTGGGAAAGCCAGGACAATCAAAATAGATCTCTGTCCTCATGGAGTTTCTCGTCTAGTGAGGGAGAAGACTACTGCATACTCAAATAAAGGTGCAGCTACTGTGGTCCACAGGCCACCTGGGCCTTCCCTGCCTACCAAGCGGTAGATAAGATGGACTGGAATCCCCGAGCCATGTCCTCTGGTTGGAAGCTCTGCTCAGCACGTGTCCCTGAGCTGGCCTTCCTGCCTCATGGTTTCCTCTGCATTTAGGTTCCCATTCTGGGATGAAGCAGTCACTGTTCTGCACCTCTGTCATAACAGGCATTAGTATATCCCTTCCTCAGTCTCCACAAGATACGCATTTTACATAAAGCATGTGCATGTGTGGCTAACTTTAACCAACATTCAGTGGTAACAGGCACAGCCCACGGCAGGGCTGCACCTTCTCACTGGACTTCCATCTCTTTCAACACTCAGCCTTCCACCATCTCACTGGTGCTTTTTTTCCTTTGTCTTTGCTCCCCTTCCTATCGCTGCCCAGAGGCAAACAAGCAACCAACCACAACAAAGACAATAAACAACAACAAAACATTTCTTTTTATTTTTTTTTTCAGGGAGCCTGGCTATCTGTTTTGTCACTTGGGCTTCTGAAGACACTCATGCATTCAGAGTTTTACCTTCTACTTCACAACGCTCATCTATATGTTATAACTCAACAAAGACATTTGCTATCCTGAGAGAAATGGTGTTGCCGTCTGTTAATATATATACACATCCATATATAGTTAGTCTGGATATATTACAAATTATGATACATGCTCTGACAGCAAAGTAGTAGGTGGGTACAACAAGATTCAGTATTAGAATGGGGAGCTGGATTTAAAATGAGACAGCAGGGTGGTCAAACTCTCTGGCAAAGTACGACCTTTCAGAAGCCTTAGCCAGGCACAAGGCGTGGGGGAAGAGCACTGCCAGCAGGGGGCAGTGTGTGCAGAGGTCTGGAGACTTGGACGGGTGTGGAGCCCTGGAAGAACTGCAGAGGCCAGCACAGCTCTCTATTCTAAACAGCAGAGGGAGCATGGTGGGGTCAGGGTGGCAAGGAGAGAGTGGGCCAGATCACATGGGACCTTGCAGGTCACATGAGTCCTACTTTTAGTTTCTTGGCTCTTCCCTAACAAATGAAATGACAGCATGAATGATCTTTTCTAAACTTTGAATTTATTGCTTTTTGAAGAGGAAACAGTCATGCCAACGCTGGCAAACTTATACAGACACACGCACGTGCGTGCACAAACACACACACACTTACAAACACGGTACGTAAAGCACTGAGGGTCATGTCCTTTGGCATTGTTAAGTCTATTCTATAGCCATTCACATGATTCTGGGTCAGCCAGGTAATTAGCTGAAAATTATCTTCATATTCATTTTCCCTCCACAGTAATGTTTCCTGAGAAGAAACCTGGAATATGAGGGGTTTTTTTTGTAAGAGATTTTTTAAAAATGTTGCTTGCCAGCAGCACATGAATTCTCTTTTCAGGACTTGTATCTGCCCAGCTGACACACCCATTTCTGCCCCCCACCCCCCAAAGTACAAGTAGCTTCTTGTCGACCTTGCACCTTACTATGGATTGGCAAGGCATGGCAGGAATGAATCTAAGTTCCGTTTACCACCAGGGTAAACTACTCTCTCTATTGCATTCATTCTTGTAGAAAAGCACTTTTTTGGCTTATGTCTTCACGTATTCACAGGTACTGAAAATGACATACACATACGTCGTGGACATTGTACCCACTGCTCTGCAAATGTTAACCTGGCCCTTAGCACTTTACACGTCACAGTAGATTCAGGTACTCATGGTGATGCCCATTCTGGTATTTTCCTGGAAATAACTTATTTTGTTTACTTGCCCAGCCCTCCCTACCACAAACCATCTTACTTTTCTTTTCCACTCTTACTTTTGAACTACTAATATCTGTGCCTTTTAAGCTGTCTTTTTATTGAAAGTAATAAATTAAAACATTCATCGTGAGGTGGTTTCACCTTTTCCTGAGAATCACCGACATATACATTAGCACGTTCATAGTGCTGGGTGTACGGGAATTCATTTCAGTAACAACATTCACTGACCTTACAAAGAAAACCTTTCCATTTACAATACTTGTTAGTCTTACACAATTGTAACTTTCCATACAGAATAATACTTTAAAATGTCATTTTGAAGAAGTGGTGTCTTCTGTGGCTTTTTCTCAAAATGTAGCCGTTGGCCATAGGCTGAGATCGAGTTTGCCGGAAGTGTTAAGACTCTATTTGATCATCCTGTGAGTCAACGCTTATAGTGGAACCTTGGCTACTGGTATCAACAGTTTCATAGGACTTTTGGTCTTTGGCAAAGTTGATGAAAACCTGATTTTTCAGGGAAAATAAAATCATTAGTCCCCAGTAGACCAAAGGAAGAAATAAGGTTAATTCATACATACATACATATACTGGAAAAGCAAATAAGAAAACTAGATTTTATAAGGGCATGCTCACACATATATACACAGGTTCACTAGAAGACCTTTTAGATATTCAAATATGACTGGGGTTTAAAAATAGCACCTGTATCTATGACTGTATTGATGACTATGATTATATTTAAAACTATCATCTAAATCTAAAGCTATAATTGAGTATCTGTAGCCACCTATCTGCATCCATGTGATAAATATCAATATCAATTATAAACAAGGAGCCCGGCTTTAAGTCCTTATCAGATGTTTGTTCACAAATGTTGAGAGAAGTTTCATTAGTTTTAAGAGTCGATGCACTAAAATAAAATTTGTATAGAAAGCCCACGTTAACAGCATATTCAGTGAGCCAATTATTTAACAGGCAGATCTTTTTACTTTGCTTAAAATTATTAAATCTATTAGTCATATATTAATCCAAGAACAATTTGAGAGTCTGATATTTTTGCCAGGCATGGTGCTGGTAGCTGGTCATAAGTCAAAGACTAAATCTTCTGCGTCAGAAAAGCCATGATTGTCTAAAGCCCCCATTAAAATGCCTAAAGCCACATAAAAAAAAATTGTCCATAGAATGCAGCACCATACAATGACTCAGAGGCTCCTAAGGCCTTACTTTCAGATCCATCCCAATGATAGTTGCAATTGAACATTGTATATGTCATGTTAGCTGAACTGTACAAAATTAAGATAGTACAGAGGTGATAAAGAATTACCTGCGAAGTCTCTAGATATTGAATGTAAATGTAATTAAGACAAATGATATAAGTGAAATGAAAGGATTCTGCATTTGCCACTTTAATTGCCTGAATTGAGCAGTTCTAAAGGTCTGGCACCAAATTCTCTCTAACTACTCCCATCCCACCCTAATCCAGGAAGCCGATCAATAGGAATGTTCTTTAAGAAACCTACCATGGAGAAAGTAAGGAAAATGTTAATAGCTGTTTGTTTTGTTGGTGAAAATAGTGTTTTGTTGCTTTACATATACATATAATCTTATGGATATAGATGTTGTATAGAATACAGAAAAAACTCCTTTTCTCTATTAAAAGTAGTGCTTTTCACATATTTTTTTAAAAAAAAATCCCCAGATGAAGTCAGAAATTAATTAGGCTCTTTGCTGAGCTTTTCAGGTGCAAGATTAGATATTAATTCAATTAAAAAGAAATTAAATGTCATTAAAAAGAAATAACCAAAATGCATAATAATTAATATGCAAAGTTGTGCACATGCATCGTATCTTACCTCTTCCAGAGTGGTCTGACTCACTAGGAAATTTGTAATATTTAAAGCAGTCTTGTTGGTTTCCAGCAAATCAAAAATGTTTGCCACTCCTCCTGCCGTGACTGGTACATGATACTCTAGCATGCTAAGGTGCTGATCCTGTGGGAACGAAAGAAAAAATTTTATTTTACAATGTCAGGTAATACTGACACAACTAGACATAACTTTACCAAGAGCTAAGGAAAGTACTGCAATTAATTCCACTGAAAATGATGTGACAGTGTAAATAATGGGTATGTTTTGAAACTAACAGCTTGCAAAGATGAGATGAAATATTTTATGAATGTCAAAAAGAAAACAAGTTAAAAAGTTAATGAAAATCCCACGGCATTCTACATTCATATGAACTTACAAAGTCATTATTATCTTGCTGGGGAAAAAAAGTTTGTGGAATGGTATTTCACATGTCATATTGTGCTCAGCTCATATAAGCTTTCTAGTGATCAATTTCAGAAATTTTATTTTTACGTTAGAATTATTCTAAAAGGCTAGAAATTAGCTGTTAAAGATGTTAGACTTCAACAGCATTGTCTAGAAGAACTTCATTCAAATGATGTTGCATCTTTTCTTAACTCACCCTAAAATTCTTTTCAATTTCTTTAGCTTAGTCAATAGTATTACCCTCTATTTAGTAATCTACTCTTATTGCCTTGGAGTATCTTTAACATCTTGCTTTTCCAAATGTTTAAGCCGTTACCACATCTTATTTATTTTTCCTTTAAAATGTCTCTCAAGTTTAACCTTTCCTCTCTATTTGCACTATCAATATTACTAACTTGGTGCTCATTACTCTGCATCTGAGTTACTCCCTCAGCCTCTTCAGAAGCCTAGAAACTACATACTCAATTGATTCTGGCACAAAGCAGCCAGGATAATCTTTCCCAAACACGAGTTTCATCAGGATGTTTTCTTTTTTTTCTTGAGACAGAGTCTTGCCTTGTTGCCCAGGCTAGAGTGAGTGCTGTGGCGTTGGCCTAGCTCACAGCAACCTCAAACGCCGGGGCTCAAGCAATCCTTCTGCCTCAGCCTCCCAAGTAGCTGGGACTACAGGCATGTACCACCATGCCTGGCTAATTTTTTTCTATATATATTAGTTGGCCAAGTAATTTCTTTCTATTTATAGTAGAGACAAGGTCTCGCTCTTGCTCAGGCTGGTTTTGAACTCCTGACCTCGAGCAATCCGCCCGCTTCGGCCTCCCAGAGTGCTAGGATTACAGGCGTGAGCCACGGCGCTGGGCCCAGGATGTTTTCTTATTCCAGAATCTACCCCTGCAACCTCTATGGAGCAGTTCAAGACCATGTATTTTAGCCAGGTATTCAGGACTTCCTTTGCCTCATTCCCTTGTACATTGCACAGCCTTTCCCATCAGCTTGTAGTTGTGTTATATCTGACACTGCAATCTTGCCATCTTGCTTACTTTTGCTCTCAAAATGTTGTTCTGGCTATTTTCCCTCTAGAGACCTAGCAACCACCAAAGATTTGTACAAAAATGGTCTGCTTAGGGAAAAATCAAACTTTGTCATCACTGCATTTGCCTTGTGTAGTCTGGTCCCAGGAGAAACAGACCAGGGAGAATGTAATTTCATCACTCAGTGAATAAACACAGAAATTCACTAGAAGAAAAAGCGTTAGAACCAATACAATCTGTGCAACAAAGATGTCCTTTGGCTTTTAAATTTGATTTAAATTTAGATGATAGAAAATGGGCTTTGATAAGAATCATGAAAGCTATTATTTCCTAGAGAAGTTACCTAACTAAAGCATGGGGGGGCTGAGGCAAAGGTATTTTTTGTAAAGATGAATTCTTTCTAAAACTGCATTCTATTTTGTTGTCTACAATTACTTCACTTTAATATTGTGCGGTACAGTTTGTGAATTATCTTTGCGGACACTTAATCATTTAGTTCTCACACCAGTTTTGTGAAGCGGGTGCTACTGCCGTCACACCTTATCTTCAGTTTTGCTTTCTGCAGTTTCAGTTTCCTATGGTCAACTGTGGTTGGAAAATATTACGGGGAAAATTCCAGAAACAAACAATTCTTAAGTTTTAAATTGCACGCCTTTCTGAGTAGCATGATGTAATCTTGAGCCATCCACTTCATTCTGTCCGGGATGTGAATTATCCCTTTGTCCAGAGCATGGGTCCTCAAACTTTTTAAGCAGGGGGCCAGTTCATTGTCCCTCAGACCATTGGAGGGCCATTGGAGAGTGTGGCGCACATTCCACACATGTGCACTGTGGGCCCGGGACGAGTTGGCTGCTAAGCAGGACAGGCAGTGGTGGCAAAAACACCCGGCGGGCTGGATAAATGTCCTCGGTGGGCCACATGTGGTCCTCGGGTTGTAGTTTGAGGACGCCTGGTCCAGAGTATCCACGCTGTACATGCTACCTGCCTGTTACTATGTACGAAAAAACTGAGTGTATACAGGGTTTGGTGATATCCATGGTTTCAGGTATCTGGGGGTGTTGGAATGCATCCCCTTAGATAAGGGGGGGGGCTACTGTATTTCTATTTACAAGTGAAAAAAAATGAGGCTCAAAGATTTTAAATAAATGTCTTGTTGGAAATCATACAGGCATAGCCGGACTTCATCCAAGTCTTTCCAATTTCTTTTCCTCATTCTACATCTGATTTCCTTTTAAAAACAATCATTTGCCATCATCATCTTCTACAAATTGCCTGCACATCAAAGATGTTATAGTGATAACTTTTTCTGTCAAGTACATTTATTTTAACTATGTGTCTTATTAGATATATATGCATATATTTGTGTGTGTCCATCCACTGCTATGTCTAGGTAAGATAAAATCACTTTTGCAATATTTCAAATAGTCTGGGACTTGAGGACTTGAGGAAATACTCTTGTGGGCTTATTTTTGCAGCGAGAGAAATAAAGGAGATAACCTCCTCTACTTGTGACATTTCAGAACTCTGTAGTTTTTTTTCCTAACAAGAAATGCCCTTGGTCATATAATACCCATCACCCCTCAATTCCCTAACATATATAACTAGTAAACTAGCAACATAAACAACTTGAAGGCTAATACAGTATGATCATAAAGACTTTGTGAGGAAGAAATAGGTAAGTGTATATAAAAGGATTATGTTAAATTTAAATAGCTACAAAAATATATAATTAATTTGAAGATTCTATTTGTTCATGCTAAGTGTGCTTTATGCATCTTGAACTAGCAAATATAGTAAGATTAATAATAAAGCTGTGATTAACTTGGCAAACATCCACTATGACATTAGATGATGACTGTCAAAATCAGTCAAGATCGAAAGGTGAGACAATCACTTACTTTTAAGTATGTTTTTGGAAAGTGCAGCTGCATGAACTTCGTGAGGGTCTCCATGCTCACTTTGTTATTTTTTAAGTGAACCTTAACAGTAAATCCTCGTCCAAACCTAGAAAGAAAAAGTGCAAAATACGATATGAGTTACATTTTGTCCAAATAGCTCCCCTGGAATTCTAGATAATGAAACAGGACTCAAGTTGACCATTATAGCCCTTTTTCTTATATAAAGACTGTCATTTTGCCATAAAAGTTCAGGGTATGTTGCAAACTGGAAATAGTGCACTGCCATGATTTTTTATTTATTTCTACCTCTATATACAATCAAACTCTGTGGGCAAAAGCTACACTGAAAAGAAGGCATAAAATCTTGACTTTCTTTGACATTCAGGAATTGGCCATGGATATCAATTTCTGGGGTTAAATACTTTCTAATTTAAAGTGAGCAAACACTTCAGAGGCAGGTCATTGGAGATTTGGTGGCAGCAGCAAAGAATAACATCATTGGGTTTTAAAGATAGATATTAAAACAAGATGCTAACTGTTTGCACCAAGGAAAAAGTTTATAAATGTGTCACAACAGACTCCCTAAGAGCAACATAAGGCCTTTTTCATCCTTTTTTCCTTATCTTGGTTAACATTATTTTATAAGAAAGTCAACTTGTTGTGTAGAAAGTTATAAAGTAACACTCTGAAGTTTGGAGATTAACATGGATATGTATAAATGCATATACGCTCTGGTGAACATAAACTATCAATTTAATTTTAATTTTATAGTAATATGATAGTTATGCACATTTCTCTAAAGTATGCTTGATTAAAAGGTTTTGGCTGCGGTAAAAATGTTAAATAGCTTACTGAATGCCTGTGCAAACAGCAAATAAACATGCTAGTTAAGAATCTATGTCTTCATATACTTGTCAAGGTCTAATTTGTTACTGGATAAACTCTTGAAAATTTCTTTCCTGAGAGTATTTTGGTTGTGGATGATTTATTATTTATTTATATTTTAGCTGTAGGCCTTTTAGGTGTTTGAGTCATGAACTAAAAACACAACAACCCCGCAATAAAATAATTTAAATGTAAGGCAAGTCAATGATTAAATTCTCCATTTCAGTTTTACTACTCAGGCTGCTGAGATGATCCTTGGAAATGAGTAGAGCACCATTAGACTGATGATTGTACGCCATCTGGGAATGTGTTTGTTCTTCACCTGCTCTTTATGTGCTGCAAAGATCCAATACATTGGAACCTTCCATTCACCATAATGGCCAGCCTGGTACAGAGAGCTTCACATTCTTCCATGCTAAAAGACAGAGCAGAATCACACTAGCATTCAGGGCACAGAAAATTGGGTTGAAGTTCGTGAGCATAAGCTTAACTGTTTAATTTTGGCACCTAAGAATTACTATTTTAGCTCCTTCCTTAGTTCTCCTTTAGCTTTTAGTTCTTTTGAAGGAGAACAAAAAAAAATCTTTTAATTTAAATTAAATGCCTTCAGATAGAATTTATTACTGTTTTTCCTAAAACTTCAGGCCATCTCTCTTACCTGGAATGCCCTCTCTATCGAACCTAGTATTTTCTTTCCAGTTCTTTCAAGCTTTCTTTCAAAATCTACACTTTCTCAGAAACATTTCCAAAATGGCATTAAGATTTTTTCCTTATGCCTCATACCCCATATTCAGTTGGATCTTATGTTGTGGGATTTATAACTAGTTCATCTTCACTTGATTATATAAGCTCTAATTTCACAGACTATGATAACTGGAGGTGATTTGGAGTATCATCTTGTCCACTTCATACAAAACTTAATGGACATTAAATGATTGACTCCAGTGTGCTGGAGCAAAGCTAGGATATAAATAAGTCTCTTGATAATAAAAAAATCTAATACTTTTTCTACCACTGATAATTACAATGCAAAGATAAAACTTAATACAAATTATAATGTACAAAGTCAACCTCATAAGAGAGGCACAGATAAAATGCTTTAGTTGTTTCTTATGCCTCATTGATTGAAGTGTCTACTTCATGGAGGAAAGGCATGTGAGCAGATTCCAGAAGGACTGGTGGGATTAGGATGTGGAGAGATTTTGTGAAACGACCGTTTCAAGTAGAAAGCACAGCTGAAGAAATGGCATGGAGGTGGGAAGGGCCAGTGTGGGGATGCAAAACCACATCATTCAGATGGACTGATGGGAGAGGGTGTTGCAGGGAAAAGAGATGGGACATTTAGATGAGGCCAGAGAATAGAAGGCCTTGAATACTGAGTTTAAGGATTCTGAAATGTATCTGACAAGCAATAAGGAGCCATAGTTGAGTTAAGAGGGCCATAGGTCATGAGAAATTTGATTTTAAAAAGATTGCTTAGACCTCAGACCCTGTCTCACCACAAGAACTGTATTCTCACCATGAAACCTGCCTGACTTGCTCCTACTACAATAAACATATTGATACAATTGTGGGCATTCATTATCTATCTATCAATCGATCCATCTATTACATAAGATTACCTTTACCCATCTATCATCCTAAGATTGGGTAGTTTGACTTCCACACTCAGTTTACCTGTGAGATGTGAGGATGACGGAACATTTGTTCTGTACTTCTTCTGAAATGATCTTCCAGAGGTGCCGTTTCGACTTAGGATCCATCCCAGAGCTTGGCTCATCCTTAATAGAAAGTTACAAGAAAAATTTATCAAATTAATTAATTTTTGATGAGGTTTTTTACATGAATCACTGCATTTCAGTTCCCTAGAACAGAAATCACTTTTTGAGGTCCGGTGACTAACTTGTTTTATACTTAATAGGCTTCTTTCTGCTGCTGTCAAAAAGCTCAAAATTAATCATTTAAAATTGTCAATCTGTTTTAAAAAGTGTCTCAGTGAAGTTGACACCCTGTTACTTTATATCCATCTCTTATGTTTCTTTGGAAAAAATTCTGCTTCAATTACTGACAGAGTGGAGTTTTTACATTTAATTCTACATTGTCACATATATATTTGAAGATATATCAACAAGATTGCCACCCTGCTTCTGATAATAGAATTATGGCTGTCTGTGATAATATGCTACGTGAAGCAAAAAGAGCACAATTTGATATTTCAGTTAATATGCTTGAGGTGTAATTTTAGTTTTATGTTATTAATTGAAATTTAACACTCCTTGGGGAAATAAAAATAAGAATTTGTAGAAATCGTCAAGTATAAAGATATACATTATTTTTCAAAGTAAATGATATTTTGAAAAATTGTTCAAACACAAACTGGAAAATGTAGTAATAGATATATTATCTAAACAACAGATCCTGATAGGTGATTAAAAAATTATAGCTCAAGATTAGGTAAAAATTAAAAAGAATTCGTAATGGAAAGTATGTACATAGGATAACTAGAGGCTTGTTTTCACAGTAAGGTGTTAAAGTGAAATTTAAAGAAAGGACTGAGTTATTTAGAAGCTAAAAAAGTTGAGATTATAGAAATAGAGAGTAGGGTTATTGTTAACTACAGTAACTACAATAATTTATTGTATATTTTCAAATAGGTAGAAGAGAGGATTTGAATGCTCCAAACACAAGGAAATGCTGAATGTTTGAAGTGATGGATATGCTAATTACTCTGATTTGATCATTACACATTGTATAAATGAATCAAAATAACACACTATACCTTATAAATAGGTACAATTATTATAAGTCAATTAAAAATAATAATTACACTATTTAAAAATAAAGAAATAAAGGAATGAGTATTAATGTGGGAAAACATTAAAGGACATACTGTTACTACTCCTATCTTTGAAGCAGATAGCATATATAGTACATGCATTTAGAAGAAAACATGGTATCTTTCTCTTATAGTCCATAGTTCAGTTCAGCTCATTAATACATAGCATTTACATAGCACTTTTAACATTTTAAAGTGCTTTACATCTATTATCTCAGAAGGGCGTCTAAAGATTGTTTTGTTCGATTTAAGGGGCATTTACACAATAGAATTCCATTAGAAGCATTGATTAGCAGAGATACAATGCATTATAAGCTTCTGGTATTATAGAAAGGTAGGCTGCGCATCATTCTATCTGGCAGTTTAAATGATTTGATTCACTGCATGACTTAATTCCTGAAATAATGTGGTGACTTATAACTGGATTATTATTGCATATAGTTAAGGGTTTTTCAGAGTTTGGAGGTCCTTGAATGAAGGGAATTTTCAAAAATAAGGGCAAATTTGTTTCTCTTTTACAAGTTTGGACTTTGGGAGCAGACTACTATATCACTATGTGTGTAATTTATATTTCTAGGTAATCAATTTAATTTTGAGCTTTTAATCAAAATATAATATAAAAATACTATAATATTAATATATTATTAATATACCTCAGACATATTAACAGAAATATAAGTGTGGAATGCATTTCTTGCCCCTCCAAATTCAAATAAATTAATACGGTATATTATTAATCATATCCCAAGCTAGATAATTCATATTTTTAAGTAACAGGGAGATAAAATTTTAGCATAATACATTGTCCTAAAGTGTGCCTGTACTTCATAGCAGAAGTTGGAAAGTGTTAGTTCACCCAATCAATTCCTAATAGAAAAAGAGACATGATTTCCTCATGAGGTAGGAATCAAAGTCTACCATGTTTTATAACTTTGCTTATTTGAATTTGTTTCAGCTCCTTCTCATTTCCATGCCAGTGTTTCCTCTGAAATCCACTGAGCCCATTGCTTCAGACAAAACATTTTTGAAGGCATATTGTTGTGGTAACAAATTATTTGCTGATAGAAATTCCCATAATGGGATAGTATAAGGAAAGTGCTTTGCACAATAACTAGCACATAGTGAGACCTCAATAAATGTTGACTGCAGTCATGATGATGAAATGCTAACACACACAATCGCATATGGTTTCCTAATTATGTAGGATCCCTTTTCATAAAGAGTCTCTTACCAGCAGTAGAATGGAAGGTTTCCCTATCAAGGCTAGTGCAGTGGATAATTTTCTTTTTGTGCCATAACTGCACAAAGAGGTAGCTCTGTCCTTGAAGGGCATCAGATGAAGCCTCCTGAGGAGCTTGTGAACCGTCTGTGGACAACAAGAGAGGAGTTGAGTTGACCTTCCCCTGCCAAAACCCTTAAAGCACTAAACAGAAAAAAATCTGCCTGTGATAAGAAAATTTCTTCATGGAGAATATATATATATATGTATATATATATATGGAAAAAATTAAAACATTTAAATTCAACATCAATTTTTGTTTTCCAAGAACAACTTAAAATTAATAGTTTATTTGAAGAGATAAAAGCAATTCCTTGGAGGCTCATTTTAAAGGAGATTTTCCCCTCCAAATATGTGTGCGTCTGTGTGTGTGTTTACAGTTACAGATTGTACTTTATGCTGTATTACCACGGGATTCTCTTATAAAGCTTTAAAGAGCTAAAATAGAATTCGCAAGGCAGGTTTTTTTCACTGATTGTCATCATTGCTTCCTCTTTTTTCTTACTGAGGGGTGAGCTGTCACAAAGGCTTTAAGTCTATTTAAAACTGACCCAGTATGAAAACCTTAGCACATGAGGAATCATGGGTTCTCGAGGTTATTTCTGTAGTTAAATAGTCCCGGCACATAATGAAATCCTAGTTGGACTTATACAACAGGTCCCCAGGATTTCAAAAATAGTAGAAACTGCCCTAAAGGTTAGCCAGTCCATTAAAAAAGCAAATAGTTGCAGTGAAGTGCAAAGCCACAGATTAAAAATCAAAATGGAAACTATTCTATTTTGCTTAGGCATTTTGCAGTTAATTCTATGTGCCAGTGCTTAAACACGAAAGAACGGATAGGCATCACCAACCACTGCTCAACCCAGAGCCGGATGCAAGTGTGATCAGCTATTTGATTGTTCTTAACAGGGTAACTGAACAAATATGGGCCAAGGATTTTCTAAAGCTGATTTCATAGGTATATATATATAAAATATATGTCATCAAGCTAGGATGGGTTCATTGTCATTGCCAGAAGGAAAATGTCATCATTTTCCAGTTGGTTTTGGGAGAATGATATGGAGAAGAAACTAGAAACAATAATGGTTTCACATTAATCAGTTTTTCACATGTGTACTCACTTCTTTAATATCTTTTTCTGGAATTCCGTGTACTCTGGCATAGAAATACAAATGTTCTTCCACAGTTAACAGGTCATCTAAGGCATCTTCTTGAGGGCAGTAGCCAACTAATGAGCTATGAGAGTCAACATGACCCAGAGATCTGAAAGAGAGGATGGAAAAAAATGAGAGGCGATGAGTTTCAAAAGGTTTATCCCTCTATGTCCCCACATGTTGGGAAGGTAGCTCTATTTTGGTCATGGGAGTCGGTGACTTTGATAAAAAGGGATAAAATAATCCCACTATCAGAGTCACACTTAAAGGTTTAAAAATCTCCATTCAGTTTAATATTTTTTTTTCTCCCCTGAGGATTTAATAATATAACCACAAAAGAATCTAAACTGTTCATTTTAATTATTTTTCTCATTTAAATATGTTGTACTTGGTAAGCTGAAGCAGTAGTTTTTTTTGTTGTTGTTTTGTTTTGTTTGTTTTTTGAGGCAGAGTCTCACTTTGTTGCCCGGGCTAGAGTGAATGCTGTGGTGTCAGCCTAGCTCACAGCAACCTCAAACTCCTGGGCTCAAGCAATCCTGCTGCCTCATCCTCCCGAGTAGCTGGGACTACAGGCATGTGCCACCATGCCCAGCTAATTTTTTGTATATATATATTTAGTTGGTCAAATAGTTTCTTTCTATTTTTAGTAGAGACGGGGTCTCGCTCTTGGTCAGGCTGGTTTTGAACTCCTGACCTTGAGCAATCCGCCCGCCTCGACCTCCCAGAGTGCTAGGATTACAGGCGTGAAGCAGTAGTTTTTCATACCCAGTCTTATTTCTGATCAGAATGTTTCCAGTGGAAGGAATTATGTCTCCAGTCAGCATCTTGAATATAGTGGTCTTTCCTGCTCCATTCACCCCAAGAAGGCCAAAGCACTGGATGGAGGAGGGAAAAAGATGTAAACCTTAGTCCAAACCAAAGAAACGTTGCTATTGTATCTCTTCCCTCATTCTCGCTGGGTGAAATAAATTACCGAGAAAAATAAATCACTGGAATTATTCATGGATATTGTGCATCACTGGAACTTGGTAAATCTTTCTCTTTTAAAACAAATGGATACCTATGTTATCTTTTTTCTTTTAACCATCTGAACATTTGTTTATATACACAGGACCTGTTTTACATATTTTACAGTACCCCTCTATGTGACATGATAAAACACTCCACAAATAAGATCTGCTAACTTGACAAAGTAATTATATTTATAGATCTAACATTATTCACACAAACTCACAACTTTACTGAATAAGGCACTGAAGCAATAATTTCTTTATACTGTCGAATAAATTTGATGCATGTAGTTTGCAGGACTGCTTGGAAAACTAAGGGAAATAGCCAAATTCTCTTTCTCTTTTCAAAGCTGCCTTAATATTGCTGCTGTGAAAACGGCAAAGGTATCAATAAATAGAGGCAGTTCTAGGACCTCACTTCTGAAAACTGATGTCTTTATGTTGCTTTTTGAAGAGGACTGGAAATGAAAGGCTGACGCCAGCAGCCTGAACAGGCTTCCTGACCAAAGTTCACCCCATAGTGAACAGTGGACAGTAGTTGGTAGAAGTGGTTGAAATCTCCCTGCTAAAAGGAAAGACTATAGGAGTAAATAATATGTAGGCATATGTAAATTATATATTGTTGGCCCTCTGTATCCATGGATTTTGAATTCTTAGATTCAACAGACCTCGGATTGAAAATATTCAGGAAAAAAAGCATCTGTACTGCACATGAGTAGATTATTTTTTTCTTATCATTATTACCTAAACAACGCATTGTAACAACTATTTACATAGCATTTACATTGTATTAGGTATAAGTAATCTAGAGATGATTTCAAGTCTATGGGAGGATGTGTGTAGGGTGCAAATACCACACCGTTTTATCTCAGGGACTTGAGTATCCATGGATTTTGGTATCTACAGGAGGTCATGAAACCAATCCCCCTTGGATACCAACGGCTGACTATATATATAAGATATATGGATATATATATAATCCATGGAAATAGATTGACTTTTATATTTCTAGAAAAAAATAAAGGAAAAATAATTAAAGATTTTAATTATCACTTATTATGCTAATAAAAATGACAGAAATAAAACACAGTTCCTTACTTCTCCAGCAGGTATCCCAAGGCTAATGTTGTTTACAGCTATAATCTTTTTGTGGATAAGTTGGTAGGTCTTGGTGAGACGATAAAGTTGCACCAGGTCAAATTCAGCCGCACCACTCTCAACTCTTAACCTCTCGGCCCGCACGTCTTCGTCTTCATCTATTGTCTCCACTACAGGTGAAGAATTAAATTTTCTGAGGAAGAGCCTAAAAATGGACGCAGTGATTTTACATCAATGATTTAAAAATGACACTCAATTTTGAAATGTTTTCACTTCACTGAAAGTGTACTATTCATTATTAAGCTTCTTTTAAATTTATTATGTATTATGCTACTTAAATAGCTTAAGAAAGTAGGATGGACTGTCTTCACCATATTCACTATGACATTTGGGAAACACCTTTTGCTTTCCATCCCTTAAGTGTTTACAGATCCACTGTTAAAATTCAGAATCCTAATTTCAGTAATAAGGAAGTGAATATATGTTGGAAAGTTAGTTCCTAACAGACGGTCCAGAGTCATTAGTGAAATTCAAACCCAAGACCAATGATCACCTTTTTATTTTAATTCTCTCTTCTTCTTCTTTTTTCCTTTTTATTGTGGTAACACTTAACAGAAGATCTACCCTCTTAACAAAATTTTAAGTGCACAATACATTGTTGTTAACTGTAGGCACAATGTTGCACAGTGGACATCTCTACTTTTTAAATCATCAGTAATATAAATGTTATTCTGTACTCTTTTTACTGTTCATGGCTCACCTAGGATCTGGCCAATATTGTAAGGTTATCGGCCCTGCAAACTAAGTCCCAAACCCACCACAGTATCTTGCCTAACATATACCAACATAAAACAAAACAAACAAAATTTAAAAATCCAACAAATCAATCCAGGTCTTCTTCTCAATGTTCCTGTTTCTTTTAATGATACCCCCAATGACCCCAATTGTGATGTTTTCTTTGAATCTTCCCCATTCCAAAATCTGCTCATGCAGTCACACTCCAAACACTGGAAATGCCTTATAACACCCTATCATGGATTATTTTCTGTCAATTTCTATTATAGGCTTTCACTCCTCACCTATATTTCTCTGGGAACCTGAAACTGCTCCAGTGTCTCTGACTCTTCCTTTGGAATCTGCACTAGCTGTACAAAATTACACCTCCTCGAGCACGATTTGATCATGTTGCTCTCTGTTCAAAAAAAATCTTTAATGGACTACCACTTTTTTGTTGAATAAAGCCCAAATCATATCTCTTCAGCAAGCATTTAGGAAACTGCATAATCTTCCAACGACATTTTAAGCTTTCACTCCTACTTCATTATACTTATTCTATGTTGTAATCAAATTGTATTACTCCTTTCTTAAATAAGCCACAATATTTTTTCTCTATCTCTGCTCTTGTCTTTCCTTTCATTATTATTTGATTAAAATTTTGTTTTTCAAGAGGTGATACAGGTACATGGTATTATTAATAAAATTCAAATGGTACTTAGAGATTTATAGTGAAAACTAAGTCATCTTCAACCATATATAGTTCTCTTAAGCAGAGGCACTCACAATTTGAGATAGTCTATGGACATGTATGCATAAACAGTATGTATTTATTTTTTAACTCAAATGGTAATATACTTTACACATAGTTCTTGTGAACCTTGTATTTTTCACTGAATGAATATTAGAGGTGATCCCAAATATTATATAGAAAAATGTGTCATTCTTCCTAATGCTGCAAAATCTTGTATTAGTGAATATATGTATACAATTTATTTAATTAGTCCCTAAATGAAGGACATTTATGTTGCTTCCATTCTTTTGGTATTAGAAATGGTTACTATAATGAATAATTTTATACATACATAATTCTGTATATGTGTGAGCGTATTTGTAGAAACAATTCCTAGAAATGGAATTGCTGGGTCAATGATATGGGTATTTCTTTTCATTTATAATACTGTCTTCACTTGATCTCAGGCTTCCTTTCCCAAACTTGTTGCCAACATGCTACTCATGCAATCTTTTCTCCATTTCTGCCTGTGAAATGTTCTCAATTTTTCCACACTCCACTGAAAAGACTACATCTTCTGTGTATGTACATATTTTCACCCCACTACTGAATCTTAATCTCTTCAAGGCTAACAACTGTGTTTATTTGATTTTATTCCCTCATTCTACAGCAATACTTGCAGACACATAGTAAGTTTAGATAACTGTTTATCAGAATAAAATGAATGGTTAACTATGTTATACAATTTTTAAAAGTTTTTTGAGCCAAATATTTCCCTATTACTAATAGAAAAGCTTAGACTATTGACTCTCGCCTGAATATTTTGAACTGCATTCTCTCATGGATGTCAAACATATATTTTTGTTATATTTACCTGATTTTCTTTATTAGCGACTCATTAATTAGGAGTCGCAAGAGAAAAAACATGGTGCCCTGAGAAACCAAAGCCACAAACATTGCGCCCAGCTTATTCATCTCAAAGGTTTCACTTGGATATTCCACTCCATATGCTTTTAAGAAGTCTAGGACTGACTGTTGTTGAGAAAGTTCAATCAAGCCGTAACCAAAACAGAATTGCGGGAAAATCAGGAAAATGCGCTTGAGGGTTTCAGAAATAAGTTCTAAAGTCTGAAATAAGAGAGATAAAAATAAAAGTCAGTGTTAGGCTTACAACAAATTGACAAAACAATTAAAATTAGATGTAGACCGATATTGAAACCTGAGAAGCTTATCTAGATCGGCAATTATTTTCCATGTATGCTGAATTTGCATACGAATATTTACTATAACCAAATGGTGGAGGTTTATCACTGAAATACAAGCAGAAAATGATCGTATTTTTCTTGAGGCAATCGAAGGTGTTGGGCCCAATCCTGGAGGCAAAATCACTTCTAGACCTGCTTTAGACCCTAGGAGTGTGAGGCTAGCTGGGATTTAGGGTCTAGTATAGGAGATTGGTAGGTGCCTGAGTGAGGGAGGCATTTTACAGTACAGTTTCAGAACCCAAGATAATTCTTACTTGGAGAGGAACTAACATGGTGAAATGAGATGGAAGAGACAACATGTCTCCAAGAGGAGCAAATGGCTCATTTTGGCATTATTCACACTTGGGGCCAACTACTTCCACCTCATGAATTTTCTTCCTCCTCCTGGAGCTCGCTTGCCTGTTCCTCAATTCACTTCATTTCCTCTCTATTCTTTTCTGTTCAATTGCCTGGCACTGTTAGTGCTTCTCCTCTCACTAATCATAATTGTCAGTTCTGAATGGAAATTGATGCTCACAATGAAGTAGACGCCGATACTTGATTGAAAAGGGAAAGAATGAAGTTTTTGATCTATGAATGTTCAAATGACTCCTAGCCCATTGTCATATAACTAAGTCATTGTCTGTCACCACCATACCATATGAATTTGTTAATGAGTAAAAAGTTTAGCTGACCAATTGGTTGCATGATTTATGTAGTACTATAAAATATATCTGATTTCACCTCCATTACGCTACTACTCAAGCCCTATCAAATGTCAATAGCTTGGACACTCAGTAAATACAATGATAAGCATTAACCTAGATGAAACCCAAAAAGAATTTTAAAAGCTGTTTAAAGGAGAGTTTCTCCTCTCCTAAATTTAATAGAATCGAATTGTATTCTTCTTTTCCATTTAAAGTAGAATTTAAAAAAATCTTTCTACCTGGAGCATGTGGAAGCTTTTGATACATTCACGGAAGTTTAGCAGACTAATAAAGGACCTTACCGGATCATTAGGCTTTTCCTTGGAAAGAAAGTACACCACAGACAGGGAAACAATGGAATTGATGCCAAAAAACAAGTTGACACAGACATAAGTGATAAAGGCCATTCCTGTTTCATGGAAGAGCCCAGCCAGCAAGTACATCCAAGAAAACGTTGCATACCTGCAGGTTAAAAATACTAAGAATTAGAATTATACCTTAGTTCTTATGTTTTACAAAAAGAAAAAAAAAATTAGATGGAGTTCCAAAATCAAAATAAACATTAGAGATGAGTTGCCAAGCCTTATAATTAGATCTCTCTTTCAGTTCTCTTTTTGACAAAAAAACTCCAAAGGATGGTTTTTAAAAAATGACAATAAAAAGCCTCTTTTACGAACCCTTGAGCAGTCCTATGTCATTACAACTACAAATTAATCCCCCCTGGAGATGGTGTTATCCCACACAGGCAGGATTTTTTTTTGTTGTTGCTCAGAAATAAAAGTTTAATCGTATAAATCTTATTATTTAAAGTTTAGGAAAAATAATGATGTTATTGTAGGTTAGCTGAACAGATAGAGCATGTTTAGAAACTGGATAGCCTGTTTTGAGCAAAGACTTGAGCAACTTTTGGGGCAATTAAATAGAACTAGAGATAAAAGAGTTCCTGCACCAGCTACAGTTGCTAACTAAGGGCCCACTACTGAAGCATTCAGGGCAAAAAAATATCTTACACTAAGCATTGCTTATATCAATCTTTATTATTATTATTATTATTTATTTTTTTTTTGAGACAGAGTCTCACTCTGTTGCCTGGGTGAGAGTGCCGTGGCATCAGCCTAGCTCACAGCAACCTCAAACTCTGCGCTCAAGAGCGCGGCCTTGGTCGGCCGAATGACTAACGAAGAATTTTTGTGTAGTTTGGCTAGAGTCTGTCGTAGTTTATAGTGAGAGCGAGTGCGGTGCGCGCGGATTCAAACTCTGAGCAAGCCAATCCTTCCCAGCGCTGCCCGATTATTAGGTGTGAGCCACAGCACCGCCAGCCTGGTAGTGGTAATACAGAAAGAACAAGTGATGTGTTGGTCCTTAGGTATGAAAGAGATAGAAGCAAGTAAAGTATACAGTGAATTGTAGAGTTTAAGGGTGGGCTCATGATTAATTGTGTCCAAGTGACATAAATTCAACACATAAGCCCGGGGCCGCGGCGCACGCCTGTAAAGTCCTGAGCTCTGCTGGAGAGCGGAGGGTCGGCGGATCGTGGAGCTCAGGAGTTCGAAACCAACCTGAAGCAAGAGCGGAGACCCGTCTCGTACTATAAGTGAGAAAGAATCTAATTGGTGCAGGACTATAGTAGTAATAGAAAAAATTAGCTGCGATAGGGTTGGCGCGATTCGCCTGTAGTCCCAGTACCTCGGCGGAGCTGGGAGCAGGAAGATTGTGGGGTAGTTGCGGGGGTTTTTTTGGGCTTGAGCCCAGAGTTTGAGGTTGCTGTGAGCACGCACTCAGCGTCTAGTCTGGCAAACAAAAGTGAGCTCGGTGCTCAAAAAAAAAAAAAAGAAAAAAAAATTCGCACACATAAATTTCTAGCATGCTAAAGTGGTCCGTTTTGTAATGGTTTACATAGGTAAAGTAGTAAGCGATGACATTTGGCACCCAGGTAGCATTAGACTGTTAGGTATTAGCGTTGTGTTTTTTACTATTGTTGGAACAGAATTATTTTTCGAGTAGGAGTGATATTTTTACAGGACTATGGACTGAGCAAGGGATGTATTGTTATTCTCACTCAGTCAATGAAACCCAAGGCAAGTAGCTAAATGAGATGTAGAGTCGCGTATTTGTATCTAGAAGCATTTATTCTGTTAATCTTCTTTCATTGCTTAATCAGCAGCTTACCCAAACAGCAGAAGTAGGAGAGATACAGCTCCGTAGTTGTTTTCACTGTAGAAAGCACGGTACTTGAAAATTGCGATGACACACATTGAAAAATGCTACAGGCAGCCAAAGTGAAGACCTATGGGAATATGTAATATGGGTTGAAAGGTACGGCAAGGTTTATTTTTTTTTTTTTGATTTTTCCCAAATCAATAACTCAATCTAGTTTAAAACTGCAACAAGGTTGACCTAGAAATATTGGAAGGAATGAATTTTATTATGTTCCGTTGCTGTAATGTCAGCTTATTGTACATTGATTTCACTTTAGAATTTGTCTCCCAAATATTAGGTCAAGCACTCTCCATTTATAGATACACAAGGGCCCTGGTGTTCTTGCCTCTAGGCTTTAAGATTTTGGATCATTCAGTGACAGAGGTTCAGTGAGAAAGATTAAAAACAGCCAGGTATCTGGTATTAGTTCAGTACTCAAAGTATTGTTCATTTGCAATGCTGGACTCTCTCAGATGGTTGATTTCTAAGGTTGGTTATCAGTGTGAGCCACTCTGTGCAAAGCAGCAGGCCAGCAGGTCCCACACATTCTTAGAATAACGGTATATAACAAAAACGTAGAGCTTTGTTGGCAAGTAGAAGTATTAAATGCTGAGGATGATTGCAGTAAGATGTATACAAAGGGCCGGGCGCGGTGGCTCACGCCTGTAATCCTAGCACTCTGGGAGGCCAAGGAGGGCGAATTGCTCGAGGTCAGGAGTTTGAAACCAGCCTGAGCAAGAGCGAGACCCCGTCTCTACTATAAATAGAAAAAAATAAGGTGCCAACTAATATAGATAGAAAATTAGCCGGACATGGTGGCACATGCCTGTAGTCCCAGCTACTCAGGAGGCTGAGGCAGGAGGATTGCCTGAGCCCAGGAGATTGAGGTTGCGTGGAACTAGGCTGATGCCACGACACTCACTCTACCCTGGGCAACAAAGTGAGACTCTGTCTCAAAAAAAAAAAAGATGTATACAATAAAGATGGTGGTAATTTAATTGGTGGTGGTGGGGGGGGGGTGGAACTCTTAAATTGGAATTAGCTCCAAATATAAGACAACAGAATCCTAAGTAGTAAGTAAATCTTCATGGAAGTGTGTGATTCTTTCTTAACATTAAAGCTCCTATTAAGTCCAGAGCAGTCATTACTATTCTTTTAGATTTGATTTCTACAACAAACACATTTCAGACCTCACTGGCTACATTAACAAAATGAATATACAGTTAATTACTCTCCAACCCTTTGAGCTAATCATCTTGACAACAACTCTGACAATTTCACCATAATCACCAGGCAGACCCTACACATCTGGGCTTTTGTCCAACACTGGCATGTCTGAAGTCAAGAACAGCCATCTAAACTTTGGGGCCATTTTATGCAAATGAGAGAAATGACATTCATCCCTTTGTTTCCCTGCTAATCTTCTCTAATGTCTCATTCTTCGGGGGCTACTACTTTGAATTTTTTACTGTTAGTTGATTAAATTTTTATAAGCTTGATTATTTGGCACAATTGGGTAAGGTTATTTTGCTGCTAAGCTTCTATTTCTCCACAGTAGTGGTTCTCAGACTTCAGGGTGCTTAAAATTTCTTAGGGGTTTTTGTTAAAAAAAATGCACGTTCTGCATGCTCCACTCTCAAGATATGGATTTAATAGATCTGGAGTAGGGCTAAGGAATCTGCATTTTAAATGTCCTAGGGAATCTGGTATAAACCACAGAGATGAAGGCAGGTGGGTATTTTTTCCTCCAATCACTAGATGAAGATAAACTTGATTCAAATTATTTTTTTTGTAATTTACTGTCCTTGTGATAGTAATTTGAACAAACTAGAATACATAACTCTTGAATATAAAACTGATGGCTTCTATCCAAATTAATCCTGCTTTTCTCGCAATGACATAAGTTACTCACCATGTCATAAATGAAGTTTGTTACCCAGTAGCATGTCACACCGATGCCTGAAATGTGTTGCAATTGTTTGGCTTTGGTTTGATGTTCCCTTACGACGTAGGTGACAAAGCTGGCGGTGGTGACAGAGTAGCCCATCAGGATGGACAGTGCCACTAAAATATCAATTAAACTGCTGATTCTATGGTGAGCAATAGGGAGAGGAAAGCACACATAAGGTTTTGGAGCTCTTTTCCTTTTAGAGAGATTCATGGCTCAAGCCATCAACAAAACAGTACAAGAGTTGGCTGTGACACAAATATGGCTTCCTGCAAGGCAGCCAGATAATATCTCCAATGCGACTCTACTGTGAGCCTGGAATAAATGCAGTTTTAGTGCATCTGAATTGACTAGGGATATCTGATAGAAAAGCCTCGGTCTCCAAGGAATATATCGTTCTGGAGCACAGAAATAGTACTTAAATGCTACGCAGGGAAGTTGAAATGACGAAGCACTTATGCACTTGACTCATGAAAGGAGCAGACTCTGTGAATCTGCAGTCAACAAGCTCTGCTTGGCAAGCCCACTCTCCACCCTTTCAGAAACTTCCTTTTATCCCAGCCAGTGACTTATATTACCAGCCCTTCTAGATTGACATTCATTCAGATACAACCGTGATTTCCAATTATAGCACTTTATGCAGAGGCTGAGCTATGCCAAGGAGAAAGTAGTCAAGCCAGAGATATCTGCTTACGTGGCTTGTTCTTGGTCTTGCACTCCTGGGTACGGATGGCTGTACATGATGATGCCTTCAAGAAGAGACAGTTCTTCTATTAGTAGGTATTCAGTTAATCAAAAACACCAATTTTCAATGAATAATATACAATACTTTCCTCCTTATGCTATGATCTAAAGAATTTTACTTTGCAGATCCTCCTTTAAAGGAATATGATTTTTTCCCCTCTAATCCCATCAATGCCATACAATTGGTGGCACTCACATGAAAAGAAAAGTTTTTCACATTGTGTATAGAACCTTTGGGAAAGAGACAAGAATTTACATTTCTTATATAGCATTTCCTCTAGTCTATTACATTTAAATAATTGTTTTCCACTTTCTTTCCTCTATCTGATCATGTATTAATATATGTTTGTATTTCAGCAGTACTTCAGAAATGTGTTACATTTAAATAAGCAATTCAGGGGTGAGGGGACCAACTGTATGAGGGTCCCCTAAAGAATAGAAATCTACCTCTACCAATCCTCCCTGTTGCCATGACTGTGGTGGAGAAATATGGTAGCCTGAGAGGACCCATCCTTCTCCTTTACTACTTCTAAGGTGCCTATTGTTCTACCTATAGGTAGACCTACCTATAGGTCTACCAGAGTAGGGCTTAGGAACTTCATTCATGCCTGAGAAATTTCTACTGAGACATAAGGGTCCCGGAAGATGCAGAGATCCTAACCAGGAAAGCAGTCACTTAATTTCCACATAGTCCTAATCCCAAATTGTTGGGATCCCTCCAGAGTTGATTATACTTTTTGAGTTAAAAGCAAGGTTCTCTCCTCTCCATTAGAGGACCTTGGTTAGCCAGAATCAAAAATGGGGTGGCAACAGTTTCCTAAGGAACCACAGTGCAAACGTAAAGGCTGTACTGTCTGAGTAATTGTGGCAAAGAATGATAGGGGATGAGAATGAGGATGTCTCCTAAGTACTTGTTCCGATAGTGTCATAAACTGAGCAAGAACTTTCTCACTTACTACTCATATAGTACATGCTCGTATTTGGATACTAAGGCCCAGGAAGAGTACCCAAATGTCATAGATGATTTTAAAGGTAGATTCTCTCAATTAACTTAATTTATAATTTTTACTAAGTAGAATGTGACATATGTTGAGGTTGAGTTTTGCAGCTGTTGTGTGTTAAAGAAAAATACATAGTTAAAGTAAAACAAAGAAACTAACAACAACAAAAACCAATTTGACCTATAATTTTAACCATGCCATTAGGGGAATGTGCTTTTCTTATCTTTGTGTAAATTAATGGGCTCTTTTTAAATGGAGATTCAAATTTCCTTGGGGCCGTACTTAAACCATGTTGCTAAATTATAATATAGGCAAGGGAAAACTTTTATTTCTGCTTTTATTTCACAATCAAGGAATACTCTACTTCATCAGACAATCTTTGCAAATACATTTTACTCCACTATGCAAAATCCTGTGGAACTAGTTTTTTAAAACATATTTTTAGCTAAAAGATCAAGTTCATGTATCTGACCTATACCATAAGCAACTCTAGTTTCTATAGCGTCCAGCATAATGTCTTAAGTACAGTGATTCATTAATGAATGCTTGTTAAATCAAATCAAACCTTAACATTTCAATTAATATTTTCCAGATATAATATATATTAAAAATAAGACATTTTCTGTTGTCTCTACAGTTGCGAACTTAAAATGAGATGCTTCCCATTGACCACTGCTACTAATACAACGAAGTGTAAGAATGAATGCTGGAGTGGAAGGGGCAATGTTTTAGTGTTCTTGAAAAAGAGTCTACTTTCGTAACATTTGTTTGGAAAACAAGCAAACCTGTATTCTTTGGAAAGAAAGAACAGAATTTTCATGTTAAATTAACCACTAGAGGGAACCACATGAATATAATAGATATTGACTTTGGAAAGGAAAGCTAATTAAAAGAATTTTATTAGCATGTTAGAATTCAAAGAAAATCAATTTTACAGCTAAAGTAAAATTCCAATTCATGCAGAATCTAATGAACATGCCTTCCTTCAAACAAGTAGTGTGTTCGGGGAGGTGGTGGGAGAATGATTGGTTTGATTTTTTTTTAAAGCAAGTAATACTATTATCATGGTACACCCCATACATGCATTATGCAACAAAAGTATGTTAGGGTGGTACAGATTTCCTCTTTGAAAGAGACTTCTTCCAGAGTGGGTAGAAATCTACCACTTTCACAAGTCTATATAAGAACAATTAATAGAGAATAGAAGACACACTAATACTAATCTCTATATAACTCAAGCTGAACCTTATTTTTAAAAATATAAATTTCACTTTAGGGCCAATATAAAGTTTTTGTTCTAGAATTCCTAATTCTTTCTACTCTGTAACTTAAAATACCATGTTGTGAGCTACAACAAGCCTGCTAGAGTCTACAGTGACTCAGGTTTGCCTGGGTCAAAGGAAAGAACACTAATTATAAGGGAAACTGGAACACAGGTTTCAAACAGCTGACCCTTCTCTCTTGTTCTCTATATTTTTGCTACATGTTCCCTTAGTCATGTCTATAGTTCTTATCCTTTCATTATCTGTCACAACAATAAATGTCTTTTGCTCTGTATAAAGCATCCTACTGAAAGTCAAGTGCCCAATAGTTTTTCAAACCAGATTACACTAGACCCACCTGGCTTCAGTCACCATTTAATTCAATTTACTGCTTTTGACTATGCTCTTTATTGATGTTCTAGATCTAAGGACTATCAATCTTGTTATTTTCTTCTTGGTTCCTTCTAAGAAAATGTCAAAGAAATTTCGAAAAAGACACTGTTTTCTCTGAAATGAAGACTCTTAAAGATTCTGTTGCTGGAATGAGTATTTGAGTCTTCAGTTTTTTTCCCACAATCACCAGTACATCTGGTCCACACTATTAAGCCCAACAGCAGGGAGATGAAAGAAAAGTAGACATTGGTTTTTCTAAAAGATATATTGTGGGTTCGCCCCCTGCTTAATAGGCTATGTATTAGGCTAGAAACCTTGGTCTTGGCCAGTAAATGTGTTAGTCAGTTTTTATCCATCTTTTTTATTAGTATTTTTTTGGGATCAGTATGGAAAATAATTTGAGCAAGGCTCAAGAAGATGAAATGGTCTGATGAACAGTAATTGGATTAGAAAAAAAATACAGTCTCTTTTAAATTCCAAATCTTATTTTAAAAACTATGTGGAAATCTCTTGGGAAACCCATCTGAAGTAGAAATGGCTGAGTCCAGAGAAGCAGAATAGCGTATTAGAAATATGAATAGGCAAGCATCAGACAGCCCTGGGTTCAAATCCCACATCTGGGCCTTGGCAATGACATTTCATATAAAGCATGTGTTATAATGCAAGTGCTCACTAAATGGTAATATTTTTGTTCAGGTGTAGTATTTTTTAGTTTAAAAGTTTTGTCTTCATGTTTACATTTGTGAACAATATTTATAAAACATTAATTATTTTAAAAGATGTTTTAGTCAATAGGCAAGTAAATAGTTAAAAAATATTTTCCTATGAGATACAACCACTAAGTGCACAAGCAGACATGAGCATCAAGTCAGCATTATTATCCTGACTTGATAAATGAGAAAGCTAAATTAACTTGAAGTTAAGGGTATTATCCAGAATGTTCCATCTGGCAGTAGTTACTACTTCCAAACTCCTTTTAAAGACCTGTGATTTAGATACTATAAAATACCTGCCACTGGGAGGAAACAGGATTTAAAGTGTATTTTTATATGGAGAGTAGCAAAAGTTGCAATACAAGATGCTTCTGTGTAAATAACTTTACCGTGTCGGGCAGCATCCTCTTTTGACATGTTAACTCGCAGGAGGAAATTATTCAGGCTGTTGAGGTAAGCCGGAAGGGAATGATAGCCTTCTGGATCATACCATACCTGTTAAATTCCAAGAGAAGGGCAAGATCAATATTGTGTTCAAATAAATTAGGCTGCCTTAACATCTGTCAGACTACCTTATTTATATTTAAAATAAGAGCACCAATTTTCCAATCATTTATTTTCTCTGGGACAATTATGAACTATCCTCTAGGGCAGGGGTCCTCAAACTTTTTAAACAGGGGGCCAGTTCACTGTCCCTCAGACCATTGGAGGGCCATTGGACAGCGCGGCACATATTTCGCACATGCGCACTGTAGGCCTAGGACGAGTGGGCTGCTAAGCAGGACAGGCGGCAGCGGTAAAAACACCTGGCAGGCTGGATAAATGCCCTCAGTGGGCCGCGTGTGGCCCACGGGCCGTAGTTTGAGGATGCCTGCTCTAGAGCATTGACCACAGACCTATAAGTAGGTCTCCAGTGTAGAGATGGGCAGAGGTTGGGAGACAGTTGTGTGATCGCACTGTTGGTTATTCAGGACCTCCTCTATGGGCAAACCTTGAAATAAACTGGAGGAAACATTACATCTCCATCTCTGTGGTGGATTCATGGTGATTCTGAGACTAGAATTAAGGTATCCTGGCTCACAATAATAGTAATAAGAACAACTGGCATAGAGGCAGAGCTGGAAAAACAAATAAAATACATATACAAGCATCATACATACAATACATAGACAAGCATCCTTAGCAACAAGACTGACAACCTTGAAATTCCCCTATTATCTTTCTATTCCTAATCATAACCCACAAGATATTGAATTACTTGACCTTCTATGTCAAAAAACAGAGAGGTTTAAAATACTAGCCCACCTCAATTCAAGAAACCCAGTTGATAATTCAAAATTACAAATTTGATTTATGGAGAAACAATTTTACATTAGAAACTTTCTTGTTTATGCAAGAATATTTACTGTGTGTGGGGGAAGAGGGAGGATTGGGGGAAAGGGAGCATTAAAATCCCAGCATTACTATTTACTGTCTACATGACTTGTAAAAATCACCTAAAATAGGCTCAATCATATGGATCTCATGGGGATGCTGTGAGGAGGAAATTGGGTCATTTGTGGAACCTCCCATACGAGAGTCACTGAATGAGTGTGAGTTTCCCCGCACTCTCCAAGACTGCACGTGTTTCTCTTACTACCAAATGAGAAGACGTGAAGCACAATGTAAGTCCCTAAGGCTACTATTGGCAATGTGGGTAATCATATGTGTCCGATCCTGTGTCTCTAGCTTGTTTTTGGTATGATCTAAAAGGAAAAAAAAGTAAGCAGGATTATTTATCTCCATCAAATTCAGTTAGGTTTCCCCGTTCTTCAAGAAGCAAGGCTAAACATACATATTTCCATTTTCTAAAAAGACATATGCATTAATAAAAATGCATAAAGCATAAATGTATGGTGTTACAAAAATTTTAAAGGATGTATATCCAATTAACCATTACACAGGTAGAGATAAAAATTGCCAGCATCCAGAACACTGTCTCCCTGACTCTCTGTGTCCTTCCAAATCACAAAGCTCTCCCTTTCCCCTAAACAATATGGTTGAGCTTCGCTTACTCTCAAAGTTTGTAATAAATGCAATCATAGCGTATGTATTGATTTTTGTTTTTTCATTTGTTTATAGATTGAACTTGTTTGTTATATGGAGCTGAGTTCATTCATTTACAATGCTCAAAGTTCTGTTGGATGAATATGAAACAACTTATTCTACTACATATGGGCATTTTGGGTTGTGTTTTTGGCTATTATGAGAAATACTGCTATGTGTACTTTTGCACACGTGTCCTGGCGCTTTGTGTATCTGTTTCCCTAGGGTATACACACAGCATGTGAATAACTACGCTATGGGGTATGCAGGAAGACAAATTGATTGTACCCATGTCTTGTTTTTAACCACAAGGAAATGCTTGACCTTATCAACTTCACCTTCTCATTTTTATGACATCCCAGAAGAAAGATCGTAATTTACCTTGGCAAGTGTTCTATTGGCAGGAATCGGTGTTATATCAAAACGAAGGTCTGTAGTCAAAGGCAGCCCAAAACTCCAACCTCCATATCTACAGAGAGTAGTAAAATTGATATTTGTTTTAATGGAGAAAACCTTCATAAGTAGATCTAAAATACTTAACTAGGAGCTCATTTTTTTTCTTTCCATTAGGAACCCATTTACAGCATAAAGTAAATACTGCCTGACAAATATTTTATCTTTTTATTGATTCTCTTTGTCATATTTTAATCTCAAGTGTGCATTATAACTAGAGGGAAATAGTCCTTCTAAACAATTGCATATGCGTAGTAATCATCCTTAAAACAAGAGACATATCACCTAACCAATTTCTCCATCATAGCTGACCCAGGCATCATCTCAAAAATCTTAGCGCTTTAGTGTTTAAGTATTCCTTTTAGGTAATTAATACTGAAGTGATATAATATCAGTTCATATCTTTTTTTTCAAATAGCTCAATTTCTTCTACTAATATAACCCTAATTTTTTCCCCCTAGCTTGTCCCCTAGTGCTATATTTTTTTTCTCTGATGTTTGAAGGTGAGTTGGGTTTATTTAACTATTTGTCAGTTCATGGTCTCCTAAAAATGAAAAGTTGCTTTTTAAAATCTAAGTAGTAATTTTAAGAGTCAATTAATTTAAATGGCCACCAAATTTAAGTCAGGTTAAATAAATAATGGTGCAGTCACACTAGAATAATCTTGTGACTATCATCCTAAATGTGATGCCATAGAGCTATATTTTTGACACGCAAATAACATCATATTATAGTGTTCACTTTATTTTAAAAGTAAGGTTTTGGAACTGTTTATAATAAAACCTATTTTGTTGAAAATATTTACGTGTATATTTGTGACAAGAAAATTTCTGGAGGGATAAACACCAAAATATCAATAGTGGTATATCTGAGTAAAGAAATATTTTTTCTTCTTTGTGCTTATCTATAGTTTCTAATTATTTTACATTCATGGTAAATGTTTAGGTGGTGTAGGTACAAGCCCATTGCCTTGCTACACATGGACATGTTTTGTCCACATGCAGATATCACATTCTAAGTTTTGAGATATTCATATTGGAACTAAGGCCAATTGTCACCAAAAGTCATGCCTTAAAACTTTCTGAGTTAGTATAATCCAGTCAGTAAGTTCCTTTTTGCTTCAAGAAAAAAAATAAGTACAAATTTAATAATACATTTTTGAGGCCTGAAAAAAACCAATGCTTTTCAGTTTGTTCAAATAAATCTTAATTTAGAATTGATACTTACATTTCAATACATATGGCTGTTTAAATAAAACTGAGAATGTAACCATGTAAAATATAAACAATAGGAATTTGCATCTGTTATCTCTATTGTCTCAAGTTTAGGAGGCAGTTATCATTAAAATTAAAAAGCAATTATATATGTTATAAACAGAGTATTTTACCTTTTTTGGACAAACTCATTTGCAGTTGATATAAGATAATTTTCCACACGGTGCCCAGTGAGGTTATAAATTATCTGGGAGGAATAAGTTCTTCTATGAGGTGGGGAGTAGTTAAATTTAGGACATTCCTGGAAAATAAAGTTAAAAATTAAGTTTTTTTTTTGGGCAATGCTGTGCAAATTAAAGCGACAGTATCAAGGAGCTTCAGTTTCACGATCTGTCTACGACTGCATCTGGAAGCGTGTGATAAGACTGTCCTTTGACTCCTAAGAGCTTTGAAAAAGTCATCTTACTTGTGCCAAGAAATTAGAACAAATAGCTATTATTTATGTAGAGCATATATACATGTGTTTATCACTCACTTAAAGCCAACAAAGGACACAAGTTAACAAATGTGTGTTATTTCTTTCACTGTGCTGACAAGCTTAATGTGTTTGGAGAATAACATTAAATATTAAAATGACTCAAAATTCCCTCAATAATTCACAGGTAAGGGAAAAAAAATGTTTGTCCCATTGAAATGATAACGTGAACAGACATAACTGCTCCAGGGACTGACAGCAGGGTGTGAAAAATTCATGATACATTAGTTTTAGGTACATAATCTAGAAGTCAGAGCTTAGTTATATACTTGAGTTATATATATATATATATATATTATAGTATGATATATTAGAGATATATACACACATATACACTTTTAGTTTGGAATCATTTTAGATTTACAGAAAAGTCACAAAGATAGTACAAAGGGTTTCTGTACACCCCTAGCTACTTTCCTTTGTTAACACTTTACATTACCATGTACATTGTTTACACATTAGTTTTAACACTTATTTTTATGCTTGTAGCTTTCTGCACTTCCTGGCAACTTACTTTTCATGTAGCTTCTCATGCTTCATTGCCATGATTTAGTTTGGGAAAGTCTAGCATTTTTCCGTAACACCTCATATGTGTCCCAAGTACATAAAGCTGCAGATTGCTCTAAAAATAATCAGAGCTGGATCTCCTCTTACATTAAGTTGTATCAACTTGAAGATTGCATTCCAGAATGGTACTAGTTTCACAGATAATAAAGGAAGATATCTTTATGTATACAGTGCAATCTTTAAAATTAAATTATATTATACATTAGAAATGCACATGTATTATAAGTGCAATTCTTGATGAATTTTGACAAACTGAACACATCTGTGTAACCAACTACCATGTCAGGAAACAGCAATACTAGCCCTCAGAAACTTCCTCATCACACTCCTTAAATCATACCACTCCAAAGCATCAGACACAGATTAGTTTTGCATATTTTTGCATTTTTTTTCTTTTAGTTATTTGTTTTTAAGGCGAGGTCTTGCTCTACCACCCAGGCTAGAGTGTAGTGTTCATGATCATAGCTACTACAGCCTGGAACTCAGCCTGAGCTCAAGAGACCATCCTACCTCAACTTCCAAAGAGCTAAGACTATAGGTGTGTGCCATTATATCTGGCTAATATTTTAATTGTTTTTAAAAATAGAGATGGGGGTCTTGCTATGTTGAAACCAGCCTAGGCTGGTTTCAAACTCCTGCCTTGGCCTCCCAAAGTGCTGGGATTACAGGCATGAACCACTGTGACCTGTTTTTATATCTTACATACATAGAATAATATATACTATCTTGGTCTGGCTCTTTTCCTTCATCATGATGTTTGTGAGAATCTTCCATATGATGTGTGTGGTTGTAGATGAATCATTCTCACTTCACTCAGATAGCATTCCATTGTGGAATATGCTATATTCGACTTATCTATTCTACAGTTGATGGGGCACTATTCACTTTTCTGTTGAGTATATAATAATAGGAGTGGCATTGCAGGCCCCACAGGTACGCGTATTTCCAGCGTTAGTATATATTGCCAAGCAGGTTTAAAAACCGTATGAAATTAAATTCCCATCAGCAGATAAGAGGGTTCCAGCTGCTGCTCATCTTTGTCAACACTTGGAATTTTTCTCCTTCTTCATTTTAGTCATACTGGTGAGTGTGGAGTGATATTGCTTTATTTTAATATATTATTGCCATTTGTGTATATTCTTTGTGAGATGTCTCTTCATAGTTTTGCTAATTTGTCTATTGGGTCATCTATCTTTTTTATCAATTTGCAGGAGTCTTTATATATATGTTCTGGACATGAGTCCTTGTCGTGTATTGTAAATATTGTCTTCCACACTGTGGATTTCCTTTTTACTTTCTTACTTTTGCATTCTGCAGTATAATTTGTTTCCTTTCAAGAAACTTAGAACTTTATCCATAGTGCATGTCTGATGTACACAGCATCAATTATGCAAAGTGACCTCACTGTTATTAAACAGGTAGAATAAGATCTGGAGATGTTAATTAAATGACAAAATACGTTGAAAAATTATAAATCTACTGGATTTTAGACTACTAAAATTATCCAGATTCTAATTTTAAATATTAAGTTAATTAACTTTTACTGTGAACTGAAGAAAATACATGAAGGA